AAAAGTAAATCAGAGACATATTTATAGTAATTATGCAGGCAAATTTGCCTGCAAATCTCTACCAATTAAGGGATAAAGAATCAAATCTAATAGGTCCAAATCCCTAAATTCGATATAAATCACTAATTATGTCAGGTCTTATTATTACAACTATTATTGATAAAAAAGCTAAATCAATTAAGCTCATTAATAATCGTCCTGGATATGATATGAAATATGTAAAGTCATATATCTATAATTATTGTGGAATTAATGATTATCAACAATACTTTGATAATCTTTATGAGACTAAAAGACGATATGATACTTTATCAGTTATTCGACCTGATGAAACTCCATAACAATAGGCTATTCGGGTCAGAGTTCCTTTACAAGAGTTGGTTTCTGAAAAGAAAAGAAGTGTATATCATGTACATTGTTTATTTGGTGGATTTGGGAATTCTAAGCTAATGAATCATGATTACTACAGGCCTAGAATCCATAAACCCAATGTAGCAATATGTTTAGATTGTATGAAACTTATACATATTGATAATATAAAACCAAAGAAATCATTCCATTTTACCAGAAAAAGGTATATCGAAATTATCGAGCCAGATGATTTGATACAGAAACATTGGGATCACGAGTGTGATAAACCTAAATCTCAAGATGGATACGCAAGAATTATACAAAGAGCATTTCGCTGATTCCAAGAAAAAGAGCCATCAAATACACGACTTGCATGGAATAGCTTACCAAATAATAATACTCCAGATGATAAAAAGTTTTTAGGCATAACTTCGCAAAAAATAAAAAACCCGAATCCCCTAGATCAATTAAAAACACGTCTTAATAAGGAATATGCTGAGTATATAAAAAAATATAATAGATATCAGTATAAAGCTGAATTTGAAATTAGTATGTATCAGGAATATATTATTCCATATGATTGGATAAATCGTAAAAAGGAACAATTGCGATATAGATTTAGTAACTGTCTCCAACAATTAGAAATATAAATACACATATCTATTTATTCGATTAATATATCTATTTAAAATAAACTTTATTTTATTATCTCGAGGGCTAGTAACATTTTTTACTTTAATTTTTTTTTTCAGAATTCTATAGAATTCGACAGAATTTTTACCAAATATATACAAATGAAATTCAATCAAGCATATACAGATCTGATACAGCAACTACCTCCCTCATTAGTAGAAGAAGCATGAAGATGCTTAACTATGAGAAAGCGAAATCCTTTGACAGAATTGGAAGCATGCGGTATAAATCCAAATATTGAAGATTTTTTACAACATGAAATTATAGTTTATACTAGAAAGAAAAAACGCCAGCGCCGAAGTACATATCCACTTGAAAATTTATTGTATAATATAAACATGGCTAACCAAGAATCTAAAACCCAAGATATTGACCCAATTTGTATATGTGATCAGACACGTAAGTGTCCTTGCTTCGCATGTGAGGAGGAAATCAATCGCCGGGTTAAGAAAGAATTAGATATTTTATGTCAGCGATTACTGGAATATAACGAAAAAACCTTCGGCAAATTTATTCGAGAAATGACTATGGAATATGAGGATTGGGTCAAAGCCAATAAAAAATTGCGAGATGAAGTTGAAGAGAAAAAGATAGAATTACGAGAGGCGGAAAAATTTCTTAAATATCTGAAATCACGTACTTATTAGAAATTTCAAGGGGTTGATCATGGAAGCCAATTTAATATTAGCTCTATCGCCAGTTTTTTACTTAATAGAAAGTAGATTGATTCATCAGAAATAAACGGGCATTTCTTTGTATTGAGAACTAATAAATTTGAACAGTGATGTGCAATTTCATATATCGTTTTATCAGTGATATAAATATATTGAAAACTAAGATTCTGAATGTTTGAACATGAACGGACTATATTATATACAGCATTATCTGTAATTTTGTAACAGGAAGTGAGAATAAGCTTTTGCAGGTTTCTATTTAACTGTGCAATTTTTTTTATTGATTTATCGGTTATCCGTTCACAGCCTTCGAGAAAATAATTTCGCATATCTGGACAGCCGGTTGCAATCGCACATATAGCTTCATCCGTAATTATTTCGTTGAACGACAAATCCAGGTGTTGAAGATTTACACATGAGCGTGCAATTACACAAATTGATTCATCATTAATAGAAGATTGTCCATTGAGGTTTAAATATACTAGATTGGGACAAGATCGTGCTATTTCAATTACAGATGCACTGAAAATATTACTATCTCTATACAAAGAAGTGAGATTTATGTATTTTAAATTTGGACAAGATTGTGTTATTTCACTAATGCATCTATCAGTAATAGCTGTACACGTATCAAGACTCATATGTAGTAGCTTCGGACAATATTTTGCAATTTCTGGCCCTTTAGGGGCACCTCCTTGAGGCATAATTGGTATATTACTAAAACCATAACTTCGATCAAGAATAAGAAAGTTTATATTCGGGCATGAGTATAAAATTTCACTAAGTAATGCATCTGAGATTTTTAAACCCGCCAATTTGAGATACACCATCTTTGAGCAATAGAGAGGTTTTGTCTTTTCGCATATAACTCTTTTAAACTTTCTTAATTGCCAATAAAAAGGTCCAGATATATTTTTATTACATCGGTTCTGCTGATAACCTTCTATGGAAAACTCAACATGTCTCTATAGAATTGGAGCACTGCAGTGATACCAAAGGCGATTGACAAATAAAGCAGGATAGAGTGCTTTATCCTTGGCTAAGACACTGAATATGTTTTCGAGCAACTCCGGAATAATGAGAGGGTGGGCCATGTTTATTTTATATAAGTATTAGAAAACTTGAAGTGGTTTTATATCTGATATTACACTTTATTCATCTAATTTTAATGGGGTATCCCAACCCAATCTAATAGCAAGTGGGTCATCTACTGCCTTAGTAAAATCAAAAACCACGAATTTTCAATCCCACAAATGCTTATCAATAATCTTGGATGCCTTTTTTGGATCATTTGTATATTGACGTACGATTCTACTAATATCGTCTCTACTACCCGAGCCCCGAAATAAGTATAAATGTGAGATATTTTCATGAATAATTTTAGGTGTTTGTGTATATTTCTGGCTCACATATATAGGTGAGACATTTTGATGTCAGCCACTAATGAAGTAAGGAATAATTCGTTCTTGCACTTTTTTGGGTTCAGCACATAGATCCTCAAAAACAATAACTGTACTTCGTTCCGGAGAGAATTTAGTTATATCTGGGATCTTATCTGGTAATATCCATTTAAATATAACATTTTCTCAATATGGTTTTGGAGCATTTGCAAAGATCTGATAGCTATTTTGTACAAGTTGTCATTTTGGTTCAAAATGTTTGGCTACTAATCTGAGATCATCATTTCTAATATACCGTTCACCTTTTTTTCCATTGAACATACATTGTAGTTTGTTACCAAGCATGAGATTTATTCTCATGTTAGTTTTTCTGCTATTTGAGCTTCCATTTATAAGCATCCTAAATGGGCAGTCTGGTGAATACTTATTACCCTTCATTTGTTCTGATGATTTTTTAGATGTTTCATTGATATTATATACATATATGGGCATGCCTTTATCTTTCAGTCTAGCCAAGATAAGTAATATTTATTCTTTATATGATAAATAACCTCTCTCTTGTAATTTGCTTTTTATATAGAGAAATAAATCACAGCATTGAATGAGATACAAATAAGATCTATACCTTCTCGAGCACATATATCCCGCTTTTTTTGATACTGCTTTTTTTGATTATCTAGATCATTTTGATTTTTGTGGTATAAACTATTGCGATAATAATGTTGGACCCCATTAAATTCCCATGCCAATTTTAATTCTTCGTTATATCCATCTAATTGCATCTCATTCAAAAATGACGGTTTACAAGATGGAAATTTCTTACCTAATAGATCTTCAAAAATATATCTTACATTTCTCTCAGTGGTGTGATGACATAAGGGACACCAATTAAATTTTGTAGCTATTAAAGGATATTCCCACTGATGGTTTCCGTTTTCACAGGACCAGAGATATACATCGAAATCATTTATTTGGCCAGTTTTACCAAGACATTTTCCGCCACGCTTCTTGGCATATTGTTGAGCCTTGATTATTTTATTAATAATATGAACAAAATTAACAGATCTGGAGCGAGTATTTTCTTCCAATATACTCTGAGGCGGATGCTGAAGTTTTTCTAGATCTATGTGCATGAGCTCTTCACATACAAACCCCGCTTTGGAGGATATTCATCGTCATCGTCTTCGAGATAATATAAAATTGGCTCATTCTTCGTTACAACAATTTTTCGAATTTTATGAATGCTTGGACTGAATGTGGGATCTGTCGCTCTTTTCTGATTTTCCATACCTCCTTCCCATTCTGCATTAGCAAGCAGATAGTGAACACTATCCCCCTTTTTTAACTTATTTTTCTCATCCTTTCCAATAGGATGCTTATACTTTGTAGATAGCCTAGATTCTACTCGTTCCAATTTAATAGCTTTTGCTGGAGCTAAACCCCATTTTGATAAACCTGGAGCTCGAATGAAACGTGTCGGATAATTATTAAGATAATCTATTACTTCTGGCAAATACTTGACCCACTCTCTTATTAATTTAGGATTTTTAGATATTGATTCGACGGCATACTGGATTTTATAAAGCATCTCTGCTAACGTCTTATTGAATCATTCTACAAGAGCTAACCCACGATGACTATAAGCACCAATTACTCGAACTGTGACATTATACGCTTCCATTAGCTGACTTACAGATTTTTTGAATTTCGTCCTGCCATCACATTGTAGAAGTGTCGGATACGTAAGAGGGTTATTGGGATCATCATAAATTTTCTTAAATGCTTTAGCAACTTCAGAACTATTCTTCAATGTTAAAGGAACACTTGCCTTGAACCTGCTACCCATATCTATAATTTGTAATACTGCTTTCCATTTTTTACCTTTATAGTAATCATGCGTAAAAAATAAGAGGTCACATTGATGTACACAATTTGGTTTTTGAATTTTACTATAACTAACCCGCGGAGTATCTTTTGGTGACGGAGCATACTTTTGCCATTCATTCTGGTTTATAAGCCAGTTATGCACTTTTTTGAATGGAAATCAGTACCCTTCCTTCTTGAGGTCTTTATATAATTTTCTAGAATTGGCATGGTAGCCAGTAGGCTAGTAAAAAAGCAATTTACATATTAAGTTTAATTCCTCATTTGGATCGATTCTAATAATAGGCGTGCTCAATTTATACGAAGCATGGTCTAAAGACCTACTCATTTTTGATATTACTTATTATAGCAAAGTCAAGAGATAAGATAATATAATATGCCGTAAAAAATAGAGCAGAGTCTCATTACTTTGTAATAACCATGGCATTTCGTAAAGCACGACCCCCTAATCAAACAACTTATAGATCAGCTACGAATAAAGAACTCGAGCTAGAGCAAATTAACCAAGAACTTCAGGAGGTATTACAATCAGAGGTAGCCATCAACAAATCGAATGAGAAATATATAAATGAGCTAGAGCGCAAATATACCAGATGTGAGAATGAAATTCAATCCCTCAATAAAGAACTGGAACAGCTCGAGAATGCTTCAGAGGAAGAAAAGGCCGAGTTGAGATTGGAGATATCATCTCTTAAAAGAAGCTTATATCAAGCTAAAAAGGAAATCTGAAATAAGGTATCCTATATCAATAATATAGAGAAGCAATTACAAGAATCGGAAGAGCGGGTTCAAAATCTAAGGCATAGATTCAAAGTTATTTCTTCTCAAAGAAGCTCTCCAAGTTTATATAATTCAGAAGAGGAAGATATAGATATGGCGAATCTTGATCTTTTTATACAAATCAAACAGGGCTTGTATCGTATTGAAAAACATCTTAGAGGTGGTACACCATTAAATAATCCTATCAATATTATAGAAGGTATTAGAGGCTCCTTAAATACTGTTCGGCATAATTATTAGTCTGCATACCAGGATATAGACAGTGTTATCGCTCAACGAGATGATAGCAATAATCAGATAGTCCAGCTATAGCAGGATATCAATTACTATAGACAACAAAATGCCGACCTTCAGAACCAAACCAATCAACTTATTCAAGTACGAGATACCTTGCAAAATCATGTTAACCGACTTACACTAGAGCATAACAATTTTCAAAATAATCTTGCTTTAATAACTACAGCTTATAATAATGAGCGAACAGAATGTCATAGATGGAGAGGGATCGCTCAGCAATTTGAAAGAGGAATGCAGATGCGGATTAATACTTTATTACTTGACAAATTTGTACTAAATTTTAAACTCCGGAGGTGCCAAAGACATGGTAGAGAATTGCAACAAAAATATGATATGCGGGGGTATTTGTGGCATAATGTTACTTTGGCATTAGAAGAACAATCTAAAATCAGGCGTTCTCTCGAAATTATTTATAAGATATCTATTCATCGCTTAGAATGGAAGCTTCAACAATGCTGGGCTGATAAAGGATTATTAGAATATAATCGAGATCGGCTCTTTGATATATATTATAATAAATTCAAGGATCAGAAGGCAAGTCATATCAAGTGGAAAAATAGGGAGCACAATTCACAACAATTAATATTAAATTTGAATCAACAAATTTTTGCGCTTCAGAATAATTTACCTATAAATAACCAATATAGAGGAATGGCAGAATATGCACCACCCCTATTTTACGGAAAAGCTGGAGAAGATCCTGAAGAATAGATTAGAGATATTAGACAATATTGTGAAGCATCCGGACTTGATCCACTTGCAGATGCACGAACCAGAGTAAGAATTCATGGACTTTTTGAGACTTGTTTAAGAGATGATGCAAAAGATTTTTATAAAACTCATCTCAAGAATAAAAATTGGGAATTGCAAATATTAGCGATAATACGGGCTTTGCAGATCTTGGTGCTATCAATGAATTAGCTAATAATAATGCATTGCGCAATATCAATGCTAATAAGTTTAGAGGCGGAGCTCTTCAAATAAGAAATACAGTTCCAGCTGACAACAATGCAATTGCTACACCATTGGTGCCGGCACATACTGTTTTTGATGAAGATTGGTTGATAGCTGGTGGACAACCAACAGATTTAGCTCTCAATGCTCCCAATGCTAATGCAGGAGATAATACTATTGCCCCTGGTATTCATATTGGACAAGTAATATACTGGTTCAGAACAAATTATCCAACAATTACTACTGAAAAATCAAAAGTTGTATTTAATAATATTACTCAAGGAACTGATCCTATAGGCCGATTCTATGCACAATTAAAAAAAATGGTTGTACTTGCTTATCCAGCACTCCCAGCATTAAATCGGGAAGAAATGATTAGACAACAATTCTTTCAAGGTCTTTCCGCCGACAATAAATTAGAAGTAAGACGTATTGGTCTTGAAAATCCAATTTCCACTTTATTACCAAAATTAGAACAAATTAAAAGACAGAAAGCTGAATTGATGTTAGGGCAGTACGATCCTAATTCTCATCCAGTCACTTCTTGTTCACGATCTACAGCTAATACAAAAGATCCTTATATAACAAACAATACAAGTATGACCAAAGAAGAAATCGAAAATTTGGTGAAAGGTATTATGGCATCTTCACAATCTCAACCTGTTTCTTCGCAGACAGCTTCTCAATTGCAAAATAGACAGTTGGTACGACCCAGTCAAATGGAGCCAGGTAAAATTTATAGAGATTCAAATTTGCGGTTAAATGATCCAGAATGGGCCCAAATGGATGATGCAACAAATCGTCTTAGTGCTTTAGCAGGTCCATCTACTTTACAATCATTAATAGATACAATTACTAAAGAAGTAGTTGATAAATTTTCTTCTTTCTTGCCTAAGAAAAATGGAGGGAAAAATGTCGAAGTTGACTCAGATGAAGAACTGGCTAATCGTATGAGTAAGTTGTCAATAAATAGGGCTATATCTAGACAGGTCAAGAAGGAGATTCAGAAAACATCCCAACACAGATGCTCAAATTGCAATAGGACCAGACATAATTCTCGCAAGTGTACTCGGAAAAGAAAATCTAAGAGTGGTCCAAGAAGAAAGGTAATATCAATAATGTTTCTAAAGATTTAGATTCTGAGTCTGATACTAACTCTTCGGATAATAATTCCAATTCCGACTCCTACTCTGGGACTGGTTCTGAATCGGAATCTGATTCTGTGAATGACTTAACTAAGACTGAAATCGCGAAAATTATCAACGCTGTTAATTCAAAAAAAAAAAGTAAAGCGGAAGGGTAGATCGTCCTCTAAGAAAATACCTAAATTCCATAAGACTAAACAGAAAGGTGTTGCCACCTCTAGTAAGTCTCAAAATAAAGTGACTACCCTTGAGCAGAATATTCGTCAAATTTTGTTAGATATGCTTGAAAAGGTCTTACTTCCGCATCAGTTAGAGAAACTTAAATCTGAAGACAAATATTTAACTACTCCGGATTTTATAAATCACCGAGAACCAATCCCAGCAATACCTGATTCAGAAGACGAAGAGATATTGGATGATCCTATGGAAATTGATTTTGTTCAGAGAAAAGATCTGGCTACAGATGTTGTAACTACAAAATGCAAGATCAAACGATTAATAATCCCGGCGGCCACGATAGATCCTGGTGCAAATTTTCCAATTATGTCTGAAGATATAGCTAAATGATTAAAGTTGGTAATTGATACGAAAGAAAAACATGATCTTAGAGGTATTGCTACTATTCCTACAGAATCTCTTAAAACTACCCGAAATGTAGCAGTAGACTTTATTCCAGGTTGTACTATATGTTCCGATTTTGCGGTAGTCAAATATCCCAAATCCATGCTAATTTTGCCAAATACTCTCCTAGATAAATATGATTATGATTTGCTCGCATCAAAACAAGAATTAAAACTCGTATGTAATGGTAGAGAATATTTTATTCCGATAAACATGCACAAAGTCAAGAATAAACTTGAAGTAAATTGCACTACTGCATCTCAGAATGATAAGCATTTGGTATGTAATCAAATTTCTCAAGAAATGGATAGTGATAAGGATGACAATATAACATTGGAGGAATGGCATGCTCCTGCGGACTTTAGCCCAGATTTTGATGATCCGTTGTTAAAAAAAACGCATGAGTTATGAGGAGTTAGAAAAATCGCTATATGCAGTACTTGATTCCAATGTTAAATTAATCGAACTCAATAAAAAGTTGTGGGTTTGCCGAAAGCAGTCACTTCGTAGCTAAAATTCTTTCTGATTCACGTTCAGCTTCTTCTGTTTCTTTATGATTACGTTCGATTAAAGTATATAGATCATCTTTCTCTCTCACTTTTTTTATTGGTTTATGAATCGTAGATCTTGATTTTCTATTTTTAACCCGCTTATCCGAAGCAACAATAAAATTTTCAACTATACTAGCTTGGTCAATATTTGGTAAGCATGATTCAGGTATAGACAAATTCTGATTTGGGGGTATTATTGAGGAAGCTGAGCTTCGAGTCTTCGATTTATCTGATATAGGCTGATGCCATTCAACCATATGAACTTCTTCACCTCTCCAAATTTTATAGAAACGATTATTTGCCATAGGATATTTATCCCGCAACTTTTTCAAGATATTAGTTTTGGGTTTTGCATCACAATATTGCATAATCCACTGAAGATAATGGAAATGCATCAGATCGCATATGTTTAACCATGTTGTTTTTATAATATCCGTAATATCCGTAATATCAATAATATTAATAATATCGATAATATCGATAATTTATTGAAAAAAAAATATTTATATTATACGCATAGTATGTATAGTATGTATAGTATCGATAATTAATACACGTCATACACATAGTATCGATAATTAATACATATAACATACATAGTACGCATAGTACATATACTATATATAATACGTATATTTAATACGTATAGTACATATCTTATACATTAGTATCGAGATTCATCTGTATTTTTTTATTATATTATCTTTTATTTGATATGACATATGTGATAGACCTTGAGAAAGAAATACATCATATCCTCCAATTTTCTTCTAAATTGCGTAACTATAACAGTGAATTGCGGAATAAATACATAAAGCAAATGAAGACGTTTGATCGAGAAAGAAAGGGGTGGAATCGGGATTCATTACGAAATAACACCGAGATTCAAAAGTTACATACCCACGCTTTGCAGGTTATTAATGAGCATAAGCAAATACAAAATGAAAATACTAATCTTATTTCTCATAATGCACAAAAGGATATTATTATTGCTGAATCTAAGGCTAAGAATATTACGAAATCCAAGAAAATCAAATCACTCAAGTCTATGATCAAGATATTGGAAGGTAAGTTATCTTTAGCCTGGAAAGATGTGATTTCGATTCAAAACAATGCATCAAAAAAAGAGGCATATAGTGCTTTGTTCTACAAATCCGAGATATTATCCCTTAAGTCTAAAATGGCTGAAGTGGAACATGAGTTAGCTTCAAAAGTTAGTGAACTTGAGTATCTGAAATCAGAGGCTATTGTTATAGAACAAATTAATTATTAGTTATCATGTTATTATTTTATTATTTATTTATTATTATTTTAGAATATTATTATTATTATTATCTTGTATTAGTATTAACATGTTGCTCAGTCGCTTAGTTGCTTAATCGCTTAGTCGCTTAGTCGCTTAATCGCTTAGTCGCTTAGTTGCTTAGTCGCTTAGTCACCTAGTCGCTTAGTCGCTTAGTCGCTTAACTATATAGTCGCTTAGTCGCTTAGTCACTCAGTCGCTTAGTCGCTTAGCTCACAGATATATAAACCCCACTAATTTCCCCAAGTTAGAATAAGCAACAGATACCTCTCTTCCCTTTATTCTTGTAAACAATATTTAGGATTCTTTAGGAATAGATACCTAAGGATAGCCTTGTATTCT